GGTGCTCCATCTTGTTGGAATACAATATCCATATCGAATTCATTAGGATTCGCTTCGACGATTTCAGTAATGAGAGGGTCATTAGTAGTTTCCAGCATATTCAAATACAGTTCCCCTGTTAAATTTTGATCAATAAATAGAGGTCCTACAATATGGTTTCCCAAACATTAATTTTTTCTGAATATTGGGTATGTGTTTCCTGGAAAACATGAGGATTGGTGTCACTCCAATAACGGCAATTTTGTCTGTGAAACTTTGCCGTTACAAATATTGTGGAGATAGGTAGGATGCCTTGCAATGGTTTTCATCATGATTTCGCAGAATTCTGTTCTTCGATCAGGGTCATCTTCAGTTAATTGGTGTACCATTTCAATTTTGTATGGATGATACCTATTCCTCTTAAAATATCTCCACACAGTAGAAGGAGACACCTCACAAACATTCGCGACTTAATAAGTAAACTGTTCAGGATTTGCACAATTATTTGCACTTGATGTTCTTCCGGAATGGACGGAAATACTTTCAGTCTCGTGAAAGTTACGTATCGTACCGTAAATAAAAATCGCTTCAATGTTTTCTTCTAATGAACGAGAATTGACCATTTTAGACATTGTTGATGTGGTACCTTTCTACCAGTAAAACCGAAAACTAAATGAGAATATTCTAACTGAACAATGATGTTTATTGTCGTACTAACATTACTTGACGTTTTTATAAATAAAAAATAACTTAACAAATCTTATCAGGTTGTTAGAATTGCCATATGGCAGATAAAAAGGAATATTTCTAGAAATATCGATATTAATGCGTTTTTCTTCAGGAAATTATTAAATGTTCCGACATTTTCTAGTAGGTGAAGATATTGACTTCATATTCTAGGGTTGTGAAGTCTTCGTCAGGAGCTTCAAAATGTTGTGTCATAAGACCCCCCTTTCCATTTAATGTTTTTCCCACTTGGCGCCCAGTCGCCATCTTGAAAGTTCCATTTCAAAATAAAGTATTCGTGCACTAATTCCATTATCACAAATTTAAATTTTTTGAGTTGACCCGTTCTAAAATAAAAGGAGGAGGACATATGTGTTTTCGCTCTAACCCACAGGTTTCCATAATCCTGTCTTACTTGCACCTGCACGGACATGTTTTTCGCTCTAGCAGATGTTGGTGATGGAATTTCGTTCTGGCATTGTACATTTTCAATTGTTAATTTATTTTATTTTTTCTGTTGAAATGACAAAAAGGAATTTTTTATAAAGAACTAGCGTTCTGTCTACAATTAGAAGGGATGTAAATGCTTTGAATTCCATGAAGACAAAATACTGCCAAATTTTATGACTGATATACTTTGAACTAAAATAAATCTTATTTCTTACCCTCCTTACAAGCCACTTCTGGCAGAGGGCTGCCAGAAGTGGCATGTAATTTTCAGTGGATATAGAGGATTTACTGTGAGAAACTTTTGATTTTTGAAATGACCACCTCCACCTACAGTTGGTCACTGGCTCTTGGTCTACTGGAACTCATTGTGTCTCAATGAGTTCCAGTCAAGCTGTTGGAAAATAATTCCATGAAAATCAAAAAATAAATAGATAGAACTTTTTGATCATTCCCATATTGATTTCAATTTAAGAGCCACCAGTAGACAGCTGTTTCAGCCTATTGGGCATCGTCAGTACCGGGCAGGCGGTCCCCGATTGAAGACAAAATGAGAAAAACCAAGAAAGTACTTGATAAAAATAGCTGCGTAAACGCAAACGAAACATAAGTGGAACCACCTATTGGTGTGACACCCAAGTCAACTTGCCAAGTTTTTATGTCAGTGTTGGTGGTTTGACCAATCAACCGACAACTGCGGTAGCAGAAATTTGGGAAGCGACTGTGAGTAGTTATGTTTTTTCTTTGGTTTCGTGGGTTCAGCAGTCAAATAATGTGAAAAAACTTTCGAAAAAACATTTTTTATTTACAATATTTGCCAAGCTTCTTCAGGGCTATCTAAAATACAATATCGCTTCAAGACTTTTGATAAGACAAGCAACTTACTGAGCATAAATCGGGGAAATTATAGCTTGCCGCCAATTATCTGGAAAATAAGATACATCAGTGTCAAATAGGTTAGAATATACGGACAGCATAATTTTTCAATGTTACTAATCTCATCTGAACCTGCAACATTCGATTTTATGCTCAATATCACATTTGCTACCTCAATTTTAGTAACAACTTGTATTTCTGACGAAGATAAATATTTTTCCGTTAACCAGCTCTCACCCCCTTACGAACTACAGCTGTCATAAGTTGAAACTTGCGAGAATTAATAAGATTTTACCTTTCAACGTGCGTTTTCCAGCATAATATTGTTAGTCACACTGTCCTGTAATCTCTTTATGGCGACTAATTTCCTTTTAATTGACACATCCGAGAATCACAATTTCAATATGATCATGTAAATATTTTTCACTGGTATGGTTTAGCAGTAGCGTCTACTGATTGGATTATTCCTTCTGTTCAGCAACAAAGTTTTAAAGAATATAAATTTAATAAAAAGGGTTTGCTATGAAGCAAAAAAAAAAACAAATTTTGACTCCAGAAAGATTAATATATTACAAGTTACTCCTATGTACAAAAAAACTAGCTTATTTTCATTCAAATCCTACAAATAGTTTACTCAACAAATAAGCGACATACCTAATAAATAAGTTTACATCCTAGTCCATTTCAATAGCAAACAAAAATTCACAGAAATACTTCTATGGGCTCAATAGTAAACAAAGTCAATGGCAGTTGCAATATTTCTGCTAAAAAATTAGCAAAAGAATAGTAGAATGAAATTTTTTATCTTCAAAATTTTCATACACCTGCCTCCAAAAATAATATTGATACCAATTGAATTGTCATGAAACTCGAGTCCAGCAATATTATCAACTTTGACAAAAATAAGGTCCAAATCAATCATTACAAAATTGTACTTCAAGCTGAAACCCATTTATATTATTATATGCAAGTAAATGTACAGGATGAATTTGAAAAATGGTACTATTTCTCTAGAGAATACTTTTATCAGAACTGTAATGAAAATTAACGAAATATTCCCAGTAAACCAGTTTTTTGCAAAATATTATATATTACCCTTTGCACTGTATTTCACTTCGGTATTAACTTATACTATCCTGTAGCGTATGCCTTAATGCACAGACCTCTCTGTAAAAAAGCTAGATGTGGACATTTTGAATCGTTCAAAACCATTTGATTTTCTATCGGGGGTTTTTAAACCAGACCGAAAACAATAATTTCATACAAAGTGAGCAAAAAAAATCAAGCTCATTAAGTACATAAAAAGTATGTAAAGATCAACATTGTGAAAGTGATTAAATGACTTTAATGAATACCAACTAATTACATCCCTGGGCCACAGATGCCATTAATTATGGATGGATCGGTCATATTATGTTTACAGAATGCATTTCTAGTAAAGAAATCTCAATGATTAGAAACAATCTTCTAACATATTCAAAAAAGTCACATAACGTTTTCAAAAAACACACTTTAATGTGAGATTTCCACTTGTAAGTGGCACATGTTTTGCTATACTGTTCCTTTTTGAATAACAGTTATCAATAGATTACCTTGCTGGATTGATGACTTATTTATCTTGTAGAAATTCATAATGAATATAGGACCAGTTTATTTAAAAATGGTTTAATACAGGGAATCTAGTTGTAACAAATAAAAATCACACTAGGAATTAGATAAAAGGTATCCTATAATCATTACATTAACTTTATTAACATTATATTATATTAACTTTCAAACAGATTGAAATTCTGATATTTTCAAATCTTGGAATTTAACATTTCTTTATGGTAAAAGTAAGTAATTGCTTCACTAATAAGAAAAGTTTCCTTTAAAAAAGAATATCAAACAAAATAACTCGGTAATTTGACTTATTTTTGATTTGATTACAATATTTTTTACTGTTGCATAGATTTTTTTGGACTACTTTTTGATTATAGAATGTTAAAACCTCAAAAAATAGCAAAACATTATTGAAAGGAAACAGTGGAAAAACGATGAGATATCATATTTTATCCAAATTCAATGATAACACGTCCAATATCTTAGGGAAAAACCTAATGAAGAATAAGAATTAAAGTTTTTTATGTGTTTATACCACTTTGTCTTTGTAACTAACATTATTGCAGTTTCTTCCTACAAAGATATTTTCAAAGGAATACAATAAACTTAAAATACTTTATTGTATTCATTTGAAAATGTTCTTGTAGGATGAAACTGCAGTACCGTTAGTTACAAATACAAAGTGGTATAAAAACATAGAAAGTTATAATTTTCATTTTTCATGATGATCTCCTAACACATAGTAACGGCTGCATCCATCAATTCATTGGAAAAATGAAACAAACAGGTTCCATCACAAATTACAATAGAAAAATGTTGTACAGCTGAAGGACTATGACACTCCTGCAGGTCCTTGAGGTTCCACCTCCTCTATTCCGTCATTCAGCATTTCAAGTTCACTCCAGTTCTGTTTTGCCCTGCGTACAGAATGAAATCTGTAGACATGGAATCTAAGAATGGGTTTTTATGACAACCTCATCGTTTTTCCACCCTTCAATTAGAATAAATCTACACACATATATGTCAAAAAAATATTGTTAGGTTCAATAATCTATATGGTAATTTCAATTTGAAAAACTTCTTAACTTTACTACTGAGAATAACTTGAAAAAAAAATTTGAAATTCAATAGCAGCTTGATCATGTGATCATATTCATAGTCACTTTTTCTTAATAACGTGTCAATTGAAAAAATTAGTGCACGACATATTGGAAAAATAGGCACAGTAATATAACATTTTACCATCTGGCAATGCATAAAATATAAAGTACTATGTTGAAATGGCAGGTTTTGAAAAGATTAGCAATACTGTTATCATTTCGGATTTATCTGAGTTCTTAACTGTTATTGACCAATGAAAACATCTTGAATTTCAACTATTAACTTTATAAAATGAAATCCACAATTATCACAAAATCACTTGTCTGATGTGAAAGCTTAGATGATAACCTACGAACAAGTTTTTGGAAAAGAAAACAATATTGCCTATACTCATTCATCAAGTCAAAACAATCAAATGAATACCCAATTAAAAGGTCAGATTGTAAATTCCCTAATTTCTGCAAATGTTGAAGCCCTTGCCACTTTTACTTTATATTTTTGGTAGATAAACACGATTACAAACTGTCACTCGATCCTATAAGACTTGGTTTCAAATGCAATAGAAGTTTCTTTTCTGTGGATGCATTATTAAAAAATATAAAATATTCACCTCCGATATGAAAAAGTATATCTAATGATAACTATATTACAATATATAGTATTTTCATAAGAGTGGATATAGATAATATGTAAAAACAACTTGAAGGTAAGCCAAACCCAAAACAAATATTGGCATTATACTGTATTCCTTCAGTGAAATTATAGCCCCTATCGTCATACTGAATTTGCTCAGTAATAAAGCCAAAATGTGTTGTTCAAAAAAATAATGAATGAAAAAACAGAAATCATCACATGACAATTTCTGTTAAAACTCTATTTACATCTGTACAATTATTTGATGCAAAATATAATAATATTTGAAAACAAAATTGAATGAAAGATCCAGTTCTGAAAGAACTCATCTCATTATTCGTACAATAAACAAGGCAAACACCCTTCTTAGCATCAATAAGAAAACTGAAAATTTTAAAAACCACCATTATGTGCTTGAAAAACGAACAATGAATATGTACAAAGAGGTCTTACAACTATGGTCAATAAATAAAAATATATTTACAACTCTCCCAACAGTATTTCTAATGAAAAAAAAACTTTTACACAAATGACTTTGATGGGCCCTCCATAATTTCGCAAAAAAAAATTTTTTATAGCAGTGATTCACATGATAATACAAAAAATGTAGATCAGAAAGAAATAAATAGCAAAACAAACTAAACCTAATCATATTAACAATAATAAAGACAGACACATTCCATATAAACATCCAATATTTTATATTTTGTCAGTCATGAACTAATCTTAATGATAAATATAAAATATAAAAATCATTGGGCTAACGATATGAATATAAGAATTTTTGAAAAACTGTATGCATGTGTAAAACAAACACTTAAATGCTACATCAAAACACTAACTGCATCAATATATTTCACAAGAATAACAAATGCTTGACCACAAATAATCAAGTGACTAAAACATACCCTCTGAGTGTTGAGAGAATGCTACTGTAGGGAGCCTCCAACCGCTCCTTCTTCACTATCGTCTATTACAGGTTCGGAAACTGTATTTAATAAAGGAACCCATTCTGCAAATCCACATTCAACCAAGTGCTTATTCAATAGTATTGGCTGAAAAAAAAAAGAAAATATTGATAAGATACAGCAATATCTAATATGCGGTTATGAAATATTTGCAAAAGCAAACAACTGAAAGACTGTAAGCAGATTCTTTTTGTAAAGACTACATATTTACTAGCTTACAGTGCGTAAAATTCAATTGGATTTAATCGAAATTCAAGTAAAAAGTTTACATTATCTATGTAAATTTTTGAAAATTTTAAAACTTATTATTGGAATGGTAGATAGGCTGAATAGTACTTTCAACTTGGTTTTGTATAATAATATTTTAAAAATTTTAATTGGAAACCTCCTTAGTTTCCTACAAGTCTATTAATATATTATAAACCGCTAGCAAAGACAGTAAACTAGGAGATGATCAGGAACTGAAAAATAGTCTGTATTTTCAAAACTACAAAATCCGTCAGTCTACAAAAAAAGAAATCATCAAGACTCTGCTCTGTAATATGAAGGAAAGTCTCGAGAAGGAACCAAGGATCAGAGAAGCCGTCACAACCAGTGCACTTCCCTACATCAGAATCGGAAATACCATCCGCAGTACCCTCACGAATACCAGTCCACCAAACGCAGATTACGATTATAAGAATTGCATTTACCTGATGCCTTGTGAGTGCGGCAAATCCTACATCTGTGAAACTAAGATGCCATTGAAAGTCTGCATTGCCGAGCACAAGAAGCATACATACGAGGAGAAATTAGCAAAGCATGATTGGACCCATCAACATAACATCAAGTGGTCCCCAGCTGAGATCATATATAGAGAGGAATACTGGTTTAGGAGAAAATTCAAAGAAGCCACATATATGTTGTCCAACACCACATTTAGCCAAGCTAACTTAGAGATACGCAACATATGGAAACCCATAATAAAGCGGAAAACTGTCAACTTCAGGGTTTTTTTTGCTTAATATAATTGTTATTTTCAGCTATTCTTTTTCATTTCAATTTATTCCAGATATTTCAAATCATATATTAGACAATGGAAGTCCGAACTAATGAAATGCACAAATGAAACATTGTCAACCACCTTCAAACAAATGAATAATATGCTATAAAATGGAGAAAGTTCAATTGTATGAACTGAACCAATGATGTAATTAAAATTTTCTAGCGAATACAGTGAAAGTTGAACATTTTCTAGCGAATATAGTGAAAGTTGAACAGTTCCTTGTCTTGTATTTGACGTTTTTCAACACTGGTCATCGAGGTTATTTTCAGCGAGATTTTTCATTTCACCAACATGAGTCGTTGGCATCTTCAGAATGATACATAAATAGCTGCTCCGAGTAAATGTTTTTCGAAATATTATTAGGTTTACTGATAACAAAATGCAACAATTGAAGATAATGAAAAAAATCTCCATGTAAATCCTAGCAACATTCGACAATAGGAAGTATGTACTTATGTATTATTTGAAAAGGCAAAATAGGCATAGTGAATAATTCATTGAAAAGAGTTAAGTTCCTGTATTGAAATATATTACAAACCGAGTTATAGGAGGATTAAAGAAAGCACTTTTACATAATACACAATAAAATATATACTTTTGTTTAGTATCATTCTCTCCTGTGCAAAAGAAAGACAAAATAGTTAATGTTTGCATTCAATCACAGAGAGATCTTGTTTAGATGATAGCCTGCACTTGGTACATCAAAGAGAGTCAGCTGAACACACGTTGAGTTGTTGACCATTTCTATGATTACATGTTGTGTATTGAAAAGTATCAAAATAAATAGTTGTTTTCACAACAAATAAACTGTGGGCACTTCATATTTCACAGAAAGTAAATTTTATATCGTCCTTATAATTTTTAACCTCAAATTTGGAATGGCTGTGTCTAACGTTCCACATGCTAGAAAATTTAAATTGTCACATATCGCAATTGAGAAATACAATATAGAATTTCCTTTAAAGAATAATTGATAAAGTGCTAAAGAATCATGAAAAATGAGAAATAAAATTTCCTGTTTAAATACCAGTAACCAGCGTTACTGTAGTTTTGTCCTACAAGGACATTTTCAAATTCGTTTCGTTTTTATTACTTTTTGCTAGTTTGTGGACTTAATTTTGGATGCATGAATTGATAACATATACCCATTCTTTCATCAACCCAACAGGAATTTAATTTGTTTTTCAGTTTAGAACATCTCATCCTTTTTTTTAAATTTATATATACACGGGCAAGCCCAATTCAAATATAAGTAGTACAGTGCTATGCAGTACTCGATGCAATACAGTGGATTAAAGTAAATCAGAACAATACAATCACGAAGATAACAAGTAGATTTTTTAAGGAAAAATTAAAATGTATAACAATATGAACTAATATAATTCTCTTCTTTGACTGACAACTTGTTTATTTTGTGGAAATTCATGTTCACTGAGGATACACTACAAAAACACACGTTTGTCTATTTTCCACGCTATTTCTTTATTGTGACTAGTTTCGTCTATTACACCATTTTCAAAACAAAGTGTGTTTTTGTAGTGTATCCTCAGTAATATAATTCTTACAGGCAAGTTAACACCAGACAATACAACAACACAAGCAGAGAGTATTAGATTACTAGGTGAAGAATATGGTTTTTAAAGCGGGAAACTGATATATTAAAGATTTATTTGAAGGTTATTTAAAGAGTTACCCAATCGAAGAGTTCTGGGAATAAAGCTGTTTAATGAATAATTGAATCTGTGAAAAGAACGTAAAACGTTTGCACCTGTATAGTTGAACGACTGGCGACATGTAAAGATATTTTGTAGAGAAGATCGGGGCTGATACTCAGTTCGTTGATAATTTTGAATAGAATTATCAAATCTCTATGTTTTCTGCGAGCCTCAAGAGAAGGTATGTTTAAAATGCATTCCAATGCAATATAGTCATAGTATACACGCATCTTGAAGGCAATATTTCGCAGGAAATTGTCCTGAACGGCTCAAGTTTCACTTTTTGTATAATGTAATGAAGGGACCAAACTGTGAAACATTAATCGAGATGAGATCCAACCAGGAAAAAATAAAGAGATTTAATAGCAATGATGTTGGTGAAATCACGAGTGTTTCTCTTTATAAAGCCAAGCATCTTCATAGATATTTGAATTACAGCGGAAATGCGTGATTTATAGCTAAGTCTAGGATCACACCTAGATCTTTGGTTTCAATAGCAGAATAAAAGGTCCGATTATTTATACTATATTTAAAAGTGATTGGGTGATGTGTTCAATGAAAGCGAATAATTTGGCATTTGGATGCATTCAAACACATACCATTTTGCAAAAACCAGTTAGATAGGCAATCTATATAGTTTTGTAGACACAATATATCAGCTGCAGTTTTAATTATTTTAAAACATTTTGAATTGTTGGCAAATAGCAAAGTTTCCCTTTCATGGAAACCGCTGATTGAATCGTTAATGAAAAGGTTAAAAAACGTTGGTCCCAAATGTGAACCTTGTGGAACACCGTAACTGCGATGGTATGAGAATAGTAATGATTACCTATAACAATTTGTGTTCTTTCCGTAAGATATTAGCTATCAACACCATATACAGACTTTATGAATCAATAGCTCATGATTAACTTTGTCAAAAGCTTTGGAGAAATCAGTGTATACAGAGTCAACTTGCAAACCCTTAGACAGAGCATCAAACAGAAAATCAAAGTAGGTAATCAGACCCAGTTCAGCTGACATTTTGGATGTAAATCCGAATTGTTGGATCCCTATATAATTGGGGAGCAGTCATAAGTGAGGTAATCAAAAATGATGATCTCAAAAATTTTAGAGATTGGGCTAAGAATAGAATAATTATACACGTAGGATTTTCGGCCTGACTTATATATTGGGGTAACATATGAGGTTTTCCAATAGTCCGGGAATTTGCCAGATGATAGGGAGCTAAAATGAAGCTAAATGATTTAAGTTGGAGGAATTCTATCAGGACCGTGGCCTTTGTTGATATTAAGTTCGGACAGTTTTTTGTAAAATTTTAGAGATTTCAATGTGATAATTGCACACATTAACCATGGATGTAATATTGGTATCATAAGGATGTAAATACGGAAGAAAATTTATTAGCAAAAAGGTTGGCAATATCGATCCCATTGGTAGCAGTACGATTACCAAAAATCATTGTATTAGTATAGTGTTATTTTTCCTTTTGCTGCTTACAAATTTCCAAAAGGATATAACATTAGTAATAATAGAATGTTCAGTGCGTTGAATGTAATCTTATTAATCAGTGGGCTATGCTTGAAGACTTGCAGTAAACAAATCTAAAGAAATGAACTTTAAATGTAAATGTTCAAGCCTGTCTTGGATATATCTACACAGTAGGTTGAATGGACTGACGCCTATCACAAAACAACTACTCCACTGGCTGATATCACGAATCCTTTCATGTTTACCAACTGATATTCATTTTGAGATTTTGAATATAAATATATAAAAAAATAATGTTAATTCATGAGATCGTTTCCATAGACAGAAAGGTTACTAAAGTATTCAGGATCAGTAAGAAAAATGTTTTCAACATATCTATTGATTATGTGATAATTTCAATGTTTACTATGATAGAACTGAACTCATAAAAATAAACGACCCCTTGAAGGAGTATTTTACGACTAAGAAAGTAATAAACTTACCTGTGATCCAAACAATACGTGAATATATACCAATGGTACATTATCTTCTGTGTAACCAATAACATATGTAGACATCATTGAGGATCTTGCAGCATCTGCTACTAAATCGTATGCCTCCTTAGGCCATGATCCATCCTCTGAAAATTCGAAATATTTAAAAGTCTCTTTTATTGTTATGGAAAAAACGATTGTTCACAATCAAATACATTTCTTATAACTCACCATTTATTGATCTGATATTAGCCAAGATGCATTCAGACGCTTGAAACGGCAACAACATGAAATCAAATCTCATCTGTCTCAAATTTGAGTTATCAACATATGCATATCCTCCATAGTCCAAAATTTTTACATAGGAAGTATCACTATCTACATCTGTAGATAATACTACAGCCCTACACCAGGTATCAACTGAATACGCAACACACAGTGAATTTTCTTGTATGGGGGTCTGTAACACTGGTGAATTTGGTTCCGAGTAAAAGGCATTCATATGGTTGGTCAACCATTGGAGGCTCGGGTATGAAGGATGTATTGGATGTTGCAAAAATAAGTGATTTGGAGTAACTAGACAGCTCAAGATATTGTCATTGGGGATGCCCTCCACTAGATTCACCTAAAAAGAGTTTTGGTTAAATTACATATTCCTAAATAATTTTTTATTGAACAGTTTTTTATTACATTGTTTACGGTGCATATTTTTATCTAAGCTGTGTAGTAATTGCTGTAACTACTAGAAAACACCTACCATTCATGCATTATTTTCTAATGAATAATGACAAATTTGCTTTGTCACCAACCAATTATTTCACTCCAATATTTTTTGAGCATTCAGGATTTAAACATCACTTTTAAATTTAACTCTGCTCAAATTGAAATTTTAATATGGGAGCTTGATTTGAGTTCTTGAAGCTATAGGCCTGAATATATAAATTTCATGTTCAAGAACGAATTCAAATAAGGATACTTCAAATTTCCATCTTATAAAAACTAAGGTAAAACACCCAATTTTTGACACTGCACCAAAGATTGACACTTCCGTCGAAAATCCTATGGAATAAGGCAACTGATATAACTGCCCCACCTTTTTAAAGAGGAAATTACTCGTGGTTCCATCTAGGATTGTGTATCGGAGGTACAGTAGAAAAGAACTGATTTTGTTAATATGGTAGCCATTTGAGTTCCACACGTAAAACTCTTGTGAAATTTCTTGTGTTTTTAAAGACATCAGTTAAAGAGTGCGGTGCAATTATTCCGAAATATTTAAGGTGAGCTTTACTCTTTTGAACCATACTTTCAATTATGGAAAATATAATTGCCTAAAGATTATAATTGAATTGTAATGCTCAAAAATCTTCAATGGTTAAGAATTTTAATAAGGGTGTCAACTATTGGTTCAAAAATATACGTTATACCCAAAGATTGGCATCGGTGTCAACCTTTGGGTTATTAGCGGGAAAATAAATCTTTTAATATTTTAACTTCCTTTTATGCATTAATTTTTTCCATTTATTTGGCTTTGTTTTATCACTCTAACTGATCTAGAACCAATAGATGACATGTGTGTCAACTTTTGGAGCATATTCATGTCAACCTTTGGTTCTTTTTAGGTTTCGATCCATTGTTGAATCAAGTGCTTCTGTTATGGCTACAAAAAAACGTCAATTGCTGAAATACTCCCGCGATGATATGAGGGCTGCTTTAGAAGACTGTGATCGAGGAGTTCCGGTAGCAACATCAGCTAAAAAACATATAGTGGCTAGGATAACTCTTCTCCCATGTGGCATGGGAGTTAAGTCCTTCCTATCAATAAAAAACTAGAAATCAATATCAAAAGACTCAAAGGGTAAGAATTTGGTGAATCGTCAGAAAAATTTTACAACCAAAGTAGAAATACTAAAGAAGATGGTAATAAGTCAAATGTTATCGAAAAAGCTTCAAAAGAGAATGTGGAAAATAACGAAAATAATTCAGAAAATGGCGCACATACTGATTCATTGACCTTTATCTCATCCACATCACATAATACTCCACTCAAGGTAATTAGTGATATTATTATTAAACCTGCTTGTAATTCTTCCCCTCTTAAGATCAATAATAAGACCATTCCTTCCCCCATTCAAAAGGGTATTAATGTGGCCAGATCCAATTTAACCAAAGTGAAAGAGAGCAATCAGAGAAAAAAAAATTTTCGGTTGTGACATCAAAACAATGGCAAGAATATTACCAAAAGAAAGAAGATAAAAAGGATGAAGAAATAAAAAAAGCAGAGAGCTGAAGAAAGAAAAAAAACTTCAACATAGATTACAATTGAAAAAAAAGAATAAACCAAAGAAAATTCCAAACAGAAAGAGTTCATTATCTGATACTGAAGCATCAGAGGAATGAAAAAATTCCGGTAACACTGATGACGACGATGATGATGACAGATTAGGAATCTAAAAATGATTTGAGATATAATTACAAAGAAAATGATTATACATTAGTTGAATTTCCTGGTATAAAGCGTAGACACATTCATGTCTGTGTTATTCAAGATATTTTATCTGAAAATGAGACTGAAGTTATAGGGATGAAAAAATGTGAGGATGAGAAAACTTTCAAACTTGATGACACAGATGCTAGTGTGATCAATTTAAACCAAATTTTAGAAAAGCTAGACTTTCCAAAAATAACTATTTCTGGTGATAGGCTCAGACATGAATTTAACAAAAAATTTAATGTCGATGGATGACATGAGCATATCATATTTTAGATGAAGAATGGAATTGTTTAGTTTACTTTTGTTCAAACTGTGAAAGCCAATATAAGTTTTTTTATCATTTATTTGTTTTTTATTCTACATAGAAGTTATTCTAACAAGAAAAAAGCTACCGACAAATTTGTCAAATATTGTCAAGCACTGGTTCCAAAAGTGTCAACACTTGGTTAAAAAAAGGTAACGAAAGTTAAATATTTTTTTTATAGTATTTCTGAGTCCTGATTCATCCTGTACAGATTGACCATGATTGAATATTAATGGGAATGTAGGTTTAAATTGAAATTATTGTAGCATGTTATCAAAATAATTGTTTTGTCAACTATTGGTGTAGAAGAGTGTCAATCTTTGGAATTTTGTGATTCTCGAAAGTCAACTTTTGGTGAAATTGCAAAGACATAATATATTTTATTTTAATACTAATGTTAACAATAACTTTGAAATTTGTGCTGTAGTTGGCAAAAACTCTAGTTGTTCCGTTTTCCCAAGTTATTTTGGGGAAAAAATATCTCTTTGGCAATATGCGTGAAGAAGTGAAAATCCTTCATTATAGTGTCAACCAACCTTACCCATATTTTAGTTCATGTATAAAAATTAGTTTAAATACAAACAAATGGAAAAAAAAAGGCCACACAAAAATGTCTTGTGTAAGTTGTACTTACTGTTTTAACGGGTAAAAACGCTACCAAGTTTACATTTAATTCTTACATCAAACTTATCTACGATTTACCCTTATCACTTTGTACCAAGCAAAGAAAACTGTTGGCTAAATGGGACCCATAGCTGACAGTGACTTAGGAAAGTATATCTAAAATTGAGCTAAATACTAACCCGTTCTATTAGTTTAAATTTTATCGGGTTTTTAATCTGAATAAAATACAATCAAATTATTTTCACAGTTACAGACGCCTTCACGGCTTTTTCCTATTTCTCCTTCTATTTAATCGATTCAGTTGTTTGCAGACAGAAAAATACTTGTGCTGTTCAGTTTCACTCCGGAACTTATTAAAAAAAAAAAACAAATGTAAACAAAATAAGAACCTACAATTTCTACTACTTCTACACAAATTGATAGTTTGTGAAAATCATGAACAACATATTAAATGATTAACCTCTATAACCTCGAATATTACTGGAGTTTTATCCCAGCACCAAACTGTTATTTTAACACCTCAGCAAGTGTTTCGATCACCAAGTGATTATCATCAAGAGCAAGATTTAACTTCCTCTTGAAGATGCCATGACAGCAATTACTATTACAGCGTAACAAGCAAAACTCAACTGAATATAAAACATACTTACAAATAATTTATCATTGTTGAGAGGGATAAAATCTGTAGGAGGGGGTAACATCACGTCATCTAAAGTCAATTCCGGGAACCTCTTAGCTGGAAATTTATTTCTCACCATTTTCAGAGCAGCATCAATTTCAGTTTGAGTGCCTCGTACTACACAAAGTTTCAAATGGCTATCTGTATGATGTTCTATAACAACGACTGATGCATTCGTTTTGCTTCTAATACTCTGCACAAAAGAACCCTTTTTTCCTATCAACTTCCCAACTAAATTCTGACGAACTTCGAAAGTGTGTTGAGTGAATACATCACTGGAAACATCTACTCCTGGAGCACTACATAGTGGAGGAGTCGTTACGTCACTACCTCCTTTACCACTATCGCTTGAACCCTGTATGGAAATAACAAAAATTATTGATAACTCACTAATAAATAGCTGACATTATTGGTTATCAGTTTCCAATAAAATGGCTAATTATTCAACTGGGAAAAAATTTGAACCAATGCATGAAAAATTTTCAAATTATATTTGTTCCTCATTTCACAATAACTGAATTTAATGAGGTTTGTGGTGATCAATATTAATTGTCAACAATTTCAGTAGTAAATTTCTATTGTATACTGATAAACTTAATGAGAACTGTTTTATTGGAAATAGTAAAAACAAAAAGAAAATAATTAATTTCATTGAAAGTAATAAAATTTTTGTATTGAAATTAATTTTATTGAGAAGAATAAATTTTTAAAAATAACCAGGTTGAGTGTTGACTTAAAACTCACCTTACCGCAGAGACGAAACTCTGCTTTTTGCTTTCATACTCTATAACTTTGTATTCTCTGTATCTGATTGTAATATGATGTAGTTTTAGGCAATAAAATCTATTATCATTATTATGAAATTTCCAAAGATTAATTCTTTAAATTAAACGATTCAACAATAATTATTTGGGATTGATTTTTCTTATCTGGTTTTATTCAAAAGCCGAGTTCCAATGAAAATAATGAAATTTGTGAATAATCTTCAATTTGAAACCAAGCAAGAAATAAGTCCACAACCAAATCTGTGTCTGGGGCCAAATCATTCACTTAGTACCATTCACATTACTTCAGTAACCATATCCATGATGTTATAAAACTCCATATGGAACTGACATTCATTTTTATTTACGGGTTCCTGTCTGATGGTTTTCTTGACCTTTAGTTTGTTTGTGTCTTATCGAAATTCGAAGTTCGTGGATTGGTTTGAAGGAATTTGTAAAAATAAATTTTGTAAAGTAGAAATTTCAACTTAGAATTTTAAGTTTTGTACTGTACTGAAAATGCATAATTACCAATGATACCAAAAATTAGGAAAATGTAAATGGTTGTCCTAGAAAGTAATGAAAGTAGCGTCAGTACATAATTTATACGAATCATTTTCGAACATATTTTTCATCTCCTTATTAACAGTACCTACTTTGGATAGTTGGAAAAAATATGTTATAATTACATGATAGAAAACCAATAATTGTATAAAGATGAAGTGAAAGCCATAAAGCCTTTTCTCAAAAAATTAATTTCTCCTAAAAACATACCATTTTCAACTAGGGTGGAAAATGTTTTGAAAGGATGATTATTGCTTTTTAATAGAAAAGTTCTTAAGCAGCTGTCTACACCAGAAGCTGGTTCGATATTACTACATCCGATCTTTTCATAGTCAAATGGAAAAAAACTATAATAATATATAGGGAACGTAGAAAAGATGTTCAAACTGAGACGCATATTCAAAAGATAATAATTAGTGAACAAAACTTTCTGCTCACCTCGCTGTGGTTATCTGATATACTACTCATCGAAGGACTGTTCAACATAACATCAGAAGGACTGTGGTTAGCAGAATCCCTTCCACTATTTTGTCTTTGCAACTCGACATGTCCTGCAACATCTAGATCAAGGTTTTGACTTTGTGAAGGACTGTGGTTAGCAGAATCCCTTCCACTATTTTGTCTTTGCAACTGGACATGTCCCGCAATATCTAGATCAAGGTTTTGACTGTCTCTCTCTTTTGGCGAATTCTTGTTATCAGCGACAGTCAGGGCAATTAGTTTGTCTTCAACTATTTCTATTTCTTTCTGAACCTGTGGAGGATTTTTCTTCTTTGAGCCTTTCCTTTGTTTCACCGGTTTGTTTTCCTTTATTGGTAGAGGTGTGTTAGATTTCGATCTCACGGACGAAGAATTATCCATTTTTGATCCGTAAAGGGAACCGTTTCTCATCGACTTGATTTTTTCAATTTCCAAATCCAAATCCTCGTCCGAAATAACCACGGATGTAGATTTATTGGCTCGCAGTTCGACGGGAAAGACGATATCAATAGGTGGCGATTCGACGCCAGAAAGTGACCTTGAAATTGTTTTGTTCGGGGTACTCAATTCGGGTGCAGCCCTATCAGCAGATTCCAACTGCTCGTTCTTGGATTCGCTACCGATATCTGCCAGCTTTTTCTCCTCTAGAAATCTGGTGTCACCGGGGTCACTTCGAGCTCCAATTCTCTTCCTTTTGTACCATAAATAGCTGAGTAGAACGGCTACAGTTGGCAGACCCCACGTTAGCAATGACTGACGCGAATGGAATGGGGCCATAACTTGATCGGTCCACGATTAACTCTTTGATGAAATACAAAATCCTGCAACAAGATAACTGACTTAAGTCACTTTCGACAGTGTCACTCTGAGTGATACAAATAAACTGATTTACTGAGTGGCTATTTTGAGATATACATAACAAATGACAAAAAAGGCCACAACCTACACTGTGGCGCATTAGAATCTAGAGAAGCCAATTATTCAACACCCAAACTAAAAAATTCTTCCAAGTTAGTGTAAGCTTACTACATAATTTTGTTCCGTATATATGATCCTAGTAGAACATAGAATAGTACCATAATTAGTAATTAGTACCAGAGAAAAATCCAGTTACACTTCTTGGGACACGTGCAAGTCGAAACATCGCTTTTACTTTCAAAACAAAAATTCATTTTTGAAACTTTAATAATAACATAAGAAATATACACCCAGTTTTATTCAGTTTATGGTGGCCATGGTTTTCATTCCTATCGGTTGATTTGTGTGCAATTTAGACTAGGTAGCCAGATTTTAATTATGTTAATTCTCTCGCCATTTCGATTGAAATTGTCTTTGAGTTCACGAATATCTATCGCCTCCCAAAATAACCCTAGTAATTCTGAGTTTTGCCAATTATTGAACCCTATGGTCGGTCGAAACACTGCTGTCTGGTGTTGGATCACGAATGCTTTTTCTTTGGGCTCTGATTTCATCTAGTAGTCAGCCCGGCTATACATCCGTTCGCCTTTGACATTATCACAACGTTTCGGAAAGATCCCACTTGACATGTTCATGTGCTCTGCTTGGTAGTGTCACGTTCAACGTTCAGCTATACCAAGATTGACCATGACTATTTTTGCTTTTGCTTACACTACGTTATTTCATTTGGATATTCACATGTAAATCAAAGAACGGCGCAATGCTAAAACGGTTATAAAAAAATACCTAATGGCCTTGATGCGTGAAAATTTAATTGACTGGTACCATTTTAATAACAACACTCATTTTTCTTGAATTGGCGAATTCATGAATGTCATGGTTGGTTAAAACTTGGACTGATAATGGTAGATTTGCATAATGTGAGTATAATCGACAAGGCGACATTTCGCGGAAACAATTTTCCGATTTTTCACTGTAAACAACGGAAGTTCCTGTTAGTTATAAAACTAACAGTTTTTCGAGCCAATCCGGTTCATTACATTGGTTTTTGACATCTAATGAAATATTATGCAGCGAAATTTAAAAAACTATCCACTTCTTAAAAAAATCATAATACATTTTACTAGGCAATTATCAATGATTCAAAGATCAATGAATTAAAGAATTTAATATTACACGATCCCTTAAATATTCGGGTTGATTTTTTAATTCCCTACAATGAGTAACCCAACTGACGATTTTCTCAAAACAGTTGATGATTCAGAATATATCATCTTGGAGCAAACTTCCATACCAATCAATCAATCAAAATATACTTTACTGTCGAAAAAACTCTTGTTTTGTTGACAAAGTAGAATATACACGTATAGAAATAAAATTTATGCAAAATACACACAATTATGTAAAATATAAATGAAATAAAAATAAAATTGTTATATAAACAAGCAGTATATAAACATATACATTTATCAATTATACATTTTATTCAATAGAATAATTGTTAATGGATAAATAAAATATCAATCATAAAATGTTATTTGAACATTTTGTCAATTTTATGACTTATAATTTAACAATTTAATCGAGTATGCTATACAGTACCCGCAATAAATTACAGATGACAGTTCACAATTTCACTGGAAGTTGTCATTGTAAAATTCTTGCAAACTATAATAGGGTCTGCTCGCGAGAAGTTTTTTTGTGTATTTTCTAAAGCTGTCAATACTATCGTGGATATTTTTAAAATGAGACGGTAAGTGATTATACTTTTTAACACCGGTATAGAAACAGTATTACAAAATACCTATGGCACTCAATATATACAATTTTAGGATGTTTTATGGAGTTATTATACCTTTGACTCAATATTTATTGTTATCATACCTTAAGATTTTATGAAATATAGTTGTCACTCAATTTTGGGTATTTGGAAAAGGTTTGTTTTCTTAAAATTAATTTTACGAGCTCCCATAGTTAGTTAACATAATCAATATGTACAAAAATGTAAAACAAGAGGAGAATAAATTATTATTTAATTTAATTTGTACTATACAGTGTGTACGAAAAAGTACTGAAATATCTTTAATGTTTTTTTACGTTTAGTGATTAGAATACTAAAAATAATTGCTAGTAAATTATCGAATACATATAAACATTATCAAATTAGGTGTTCATATTCTGCTATTCTGTAATTTTGACAATATCGATATTAGCGATACTGAAAATGTCACAGAACGTCGAAAAAATTTCATGTGCAATTGTTTCACTTTTATCAAGTTTTCTTACTTACGTTTTCACATTGGTTGATATACTACTGAAGCAAACATTATATCAAGATAACCTCATGTCTAAAATCAGTATTTTTAGGAGATGAAACCAATAATTACTATTGATAATTCATAAAATATGTGTATCGCTCGACCTAATAAAACGTATTTTCGAAAATACGATGAATTATAAAAATTAACATGTCTATGCAGTTCTTGTGTGACGAGGTGTGAAACGTACTCTGTATCCGGGTGTTGATATTGTTAATTTGATCTTTTAAAGAGAAGTTTTATCAAGGTGCTTGGCCTCTATTCATAACAGGAATACCTACCTATCTCTCTTAAAGACACAGACAACTGGTTTCATTTGGTTTGGTTTGGTGAAAGGCGAATAAGTAAGAATAAAATGATTTAAATTTATCTTGGACACTATAAAGAGTATAATTCAAATTTTTTAATTCGTCAACCTCTGTAACTATGGGTTTATATGCGACATATGTTAATCATAATGCTCAATATATGGCGAATCATCAAATCGTAGGTAATGCGCTTAGTAAACTAAACTGGTTGCTTCAAATTATGATAAACAAAATACCGCAAATGACATTGACTTCACCTGATGAAATACGAGCCTAATGCTAGGAATTAGTAAATTTAACGGTTGCTTGGTGTATTCATTTTGACAAAATAAAACGTTATTTTCAGTCTCGTTTTCACTTAAATGAAATGAAGAAAAATTCCCGATAACGAGCGTCCAGTCACGTATCCCGGGATTGAAACCTATTACAGACATTTTTGGTAGGGGTAACTCAACAATGCATTAGGGAAGTTCTTCGTCTATCTAGATGTAACGTCTATTCTCAAAATTGGAACTTAGTCGAAAGGAAAAACAAATTCCTATCAGCTGTTTTCACAAATCATTGTGATTTCCTTTGCTTCCCGTAAACGAAAGTAATATATTTTACTGTCGGAAGTTACTGCGTGGTGTCTTCGCTTGGAGGAAGACAAAATAATACAGCACATACTATAATGCCAGCCGTCACACCGGTTTTAAGAATTTGGCGGAGTTTCACTTTCACCATCTGACCCGATAGATCATCCACCAAATAAGCTAATCGGCTTCATTAAAAGGTTGATCTCAATACGCCGAGACTCAATAAGTGTGAGCCATAATGAACCCTCACGGGTTGCAGTGGAGGGTCGAAAATATCCACTCACGAGCGTTGCTGTACGCAAAACTTATAAAAAAGCAGGGTTTTCAAAATTATGCATGTTATTGTTATCAACAAACAATTTCTATTTGTCAAATTTATTAATTAGTCTTTTTGATGATTATTAGAACTGTAAATGCCATTTACTGTTTATTAAAATTTCGTTTTTAATTTTAATAGTTACCGTGTGAATTTGTTTGATTTCGATGACTTAACAGATATGGTTGAAGTAATCTTTATTGTGAATACTTAAAGCTATCGGTGCCCTCAATCCACGTGGTTCGTACTGGATAATTTTTACTAACCGAGTTTTATGATTGGCTGAGAGAATAGAACGCGAGCCATCGTATTGTCAATGTTCAGTTCAGGAACTGATCGCGATTTGAGTGTTGAAATTCAATATAGGTGCGGTTATAATTATTTGAAACTTTTGTTATCTGTTTAAAATGTGGCGTCATTGGATAAGTACTAGTAATAACGAGTGTGATAACAACGCAGACTTTTTCCAGTGTAGTGATTCCAATAGCGCTGGTAAACAATGCGAAAAAGAGATACCAGTGAATAAGATTCGGATGCATTTGAATATTGAAACACGGAGAGTATGTTCAATGTATATAAGAATCTACATCTCAAGTTTGGTTCTTTGAAATTATGTGGAGAAAAAACTTGAGGGCTGCAATGTTGACTATCATAAGAACATGGAAGATAATATTTTTGAGGAATGGTTTGAAAACACATTGATCCCAATTTGACAACGCTTCCTATCGTTCGCGACAGCGCATCAAAGTACCGAATAAAAATTCGAGAAAAGATGAAATACAAAGTTTTTTAATGGATAACAATTTGTATTTTGAAGATAATTATACCAAAAACCAACTACTTGAAGTTTTACAGTGGGGAAGTGGGGAAAATTGAAATAAAGCATCAGGCGTAAAAATAATTTTCCAAAATTTGATAAGAAGGTAATACAGCTAGCTAAAGAAGAAGTATCTAGTATTACCGAAGAAGACTGGCAGAAAAGGATTAAAAAAGTAAATTTTGTTGAAAAAGACTATATAGATTGGACACTTCATACCTATTATGTGAAATCTTTGAAAACCTTGAGATATAAACCTCAGTTAACGACAAAATGGGCTGGATTGGAGACTCGTTAGGAGAGAATTCCAATGAATAAACGAAAAGTTAGGATGTTTAGATTTGATTCTCGTAAGAGGTTGAATGAAATCCATTAGAAAACATTCACATTCACCAATTAATCAAATCCATATCGGCAAGCGTTACCTGATTTCACAATCTAATAAAGAACACAACACGATTTCTCCATGCAATCCACTAACATGCACCCAAATAGTTACGGTTTGATCCTACAATAGTATTCATTCCAATAGAAAACATGAATCATTAGAAATGAAAAAAATGCAACAAAATATTACGCAACACATCGCAAATGACTCACAGCTTCATGATGAGAGGAAGCTCCCCTCGAGACTGCGTATAAAATGTAGAAATTCGCAGAAAGTGGGCGGAAATAAAATAATAGGAATGCGCTTAAAGCACTACAGGCATTTTGATGACAACCGAAACATTTGAAAACAGTTTTTGAAAAAATTCAAATCCGCTCTTCGACAAAACAGAATATCTTAAATGCAAGGCTATTGAAATTCTGGTGAAAAATTTTTGAAATTTGTATCGACTAAACGTGTTCCCGATGCGAAGCTTGAAAAATACCAAGCTATCGGATACTATGCCCGAGATTTGTTAGGCATGATTTTTCATGCCAATAAATTTTACAATTATGGCATTGAAATGTCATGTCATATCCTTCGTAAAAACGGAAACATGAAATACACGTTTCCCATACACCAGAACTGTAACATTTTTCTAGACGTGCCTTTCACCAACCAGTTGATCTAGAGCAGTGTTTCTCAAAGTGTGCGCCGCGTCGCCCTGGGGCGCCGTGGGCCACTGGGGAGTCTCACGGTACAACTTTTTACAACATAGGTAACTGAGAGTAAAGGTAATACGTCGGTACCTATTAATAAAAATCCTCTGATATGATAATATCGGTAATTGCAAAATGCAATCCGTTCAGACAGCCACCTCTACCTACTTTATTAATGAAATATCTAGTGTATTCTTTACTTTCGGGGCGCCGCGATAACCTTCAAAAAACATAAGTTTGAGAACCACTGATTTAGAGCGTCTTGATTTAAATTTTTACTGTGAAAATTGTATAATTATCATCATAAACAGTGTTATTAATTTTAATCAAGTAACAGGTATAAAGTAAGCTGGTATAAAACCAAAGTTGACCAAAGTTAAAACCCATTGATAGAATGATTTTCACTATAAAAGGATTTACAAAAACCGCGATACGTGTTTCGCTATACAGTAGCTTTCCTCAAGCGTAAAATAATTAGTTATTTCTAAATTACAACTATTTTATAGTCTAACATATTACCTACTCGTATGCCTACTTTCTAATGAATGAATCTATCTGAAAAGGTCAAGTATAAATACATCAACCATATGAATAAATTAAATTTCCGAAAGTACCGTAATTATACATAACTTTTCTCACTTGGAAATAAACAGATTTAATAATAGCGAATTATTCAGTTCACTTTGATCGATTGGGAGTTTTTAAATTTGTTTTTTTCATACTATCCAACAGTTTAAGTTTTGAACCTCTCTTCTTGAATTGAAGGGGCTTGAATGCATGTCCTTCTGTGATTAAATGAGTGGCATATGTGGGGTTAATTTTTCATTTTGGAAACTATTTCTGTGTTCCTGTATGCAGGCTTTGAACGTTCTTCCAGTTTGACCTATGATAATGTGCACGCCTAAGTTGTTGATTTTGAAAGCAATATTTACACCTTTGTTGCAGAAAATTTGAAATATTCGCAGTGGGTTGGCCCAAGTATGTTGAGGTTCTATAACTTTTTATCCTCATCTCTTCGAATTGGGTAAACTTCCTTTAAAGCTTGGCTGTATAACTTTTTTGATAATAGGGAATGACTTCAGACTTTATCGTAATCATTTTTGTTAATTACGTTCAGTTCTTTATTGAAATTTGCATTTGACAAGAGAACACTTATCAGTCTGTGGACCATACTGTTGAATACTGCTATATGGGTTGGTGGACCAGTTATGAATGATAATATCTGTATGTGCTGGTTTACGATAAATTGAAAAATCATGCTTATTGTTAACTTTCGTTATTGGTCAAAGTTGCTTCTATAGATATAAGTATGCTCCAATTAAGAAAAACATATCAAGCAGTAGACATATTCAAAATAATGGTTTAATAAGAACGAACCGGTTCTTACACGAAGAATGTCTTGGAACTGATCGATTTCGGAGAAACGAATGCGCATGAACCTCCTCACTAGGGCAGAAAGTTTCGAAATATTCCATTCATCCTGTTCGAGATTTAGTCTGGTTTAGAGTAATAATAAAATAGTAAAATAGTGAACTTCGTCCAACGATACTAGCGATCTAGTCGATCTAGTACACAACTTGAACGAAAACAAACCTTTTAAATTTGAGACACTCAATAAGTCTTAAAAAATGGCCATAGAATAAATGAAAACTGTTTCAAAACTGTTGATTCAGTACATAACCCTAAATTGTATAGTACTAAATGAATCGCTCTGTTGGAATTTGCGAAAACATTTTCAAGAAAATTTTCCGCGAATTTTAACAAACCATTGATGTTTCAGAGTTGGGAATTGGTTGACATCTCCTGAGGAAGACGACTTGTTTGGTGAAACGCGCTTCGGGGAGACTGTTGCAGTTTTGGCGTTTGAGAACAGTTCAAATCGACAAATTTTTACGAACACCCAATGAGGCACAAGGCAAATACGAAATACCATGTTTAACCTGCATCAGAACTTACATCGACCTTACCAACAAAAGCTTCAACAGAGCTAGCTGCCTATAAGTTAAGATTCGGTCTCAGTCTTTTCAAACACAATCGTGAAACAAGCCACACAATAAGCTTTGACAACACGAAAACCATCGCCATGCCACCGAAAACTCTCCAGGCCACTTCATTCCGAGCTTCTAAAATATGGGCTATCTCATATTTTAGAAGCTATAAATAATAATAAATAAATAAATAAGTGTAAGAACACTTGTTTCAACATTGGTAAACATTATTTATAAAATACGACCATTTAGAATATGTATATATAAGGGTTAGTTATCTGAATCGATAATTAAAATTTAGTAAAAAATAGCTTAAAGTATAGGATATTTAGAATAAATATAATCGATTAGTAATATGAATTAATAATTACAATATAGAATATGAGTCAATCATTAATTTGTTATAATTATTTGTATAAGAATACAATTTTAGAATACTGTGTAACATCAGATGTAAAGATGAATAATAAAATTAATTGTATACTAATATGAAGACCAACGATATAGTGTAGCTGTAGCACAAACATTAATACATCTAAGAATTACATTAAAAAATTCAGAGATGCAATTTATTCACATATTCTGGTGTTTAAGCGGAGTTAGTGATTCTACCTGATTTATGTAAATATTTCTTTTGAAAGAGTGTGAATTCATGATTAATTTTATATTTTCAGGGATGTTATTGTACAACTTTGGTGGGACATAAGAATAAGTTCTTTGGGTAGTTGTTTTAGACATAAAAGGAATAACATAATGTTATTCAACGAAAGTCATTTTTTGTGGAGGAAAAAATCAGTTTTTTATCGACATTTTCTGGGTAATTGTTACCTTCCACAATATGAAAAAATATAAAAATTAAGTAACTTGTCGTATTTAACAATTTTGCCTATAAAAAAAATTATTAAGAAATAATACTTATCTTTTACGTTTCGGAGGCCAAAATCTGCCTCCGTCTTCAGAAATGGATAAAAAATTCGAATATATACGTAGTTATTCCTTTTTTGATAGCTTATTTCTTTACTTCTTCGACAGATGTCAAAGAAGTTTTGAAACATGTTTCAAAAAGCTATCAAAAAAGGAATAACTACGCAGTAACTTATCGGGGTAAACTAAAAAGTTTGCCCTTCTATACTTGTATAAAGTTCTCCATTATAATTTTTATAGATTGTGGAAGGTAACAATTACCCAAAAAAGGTCGATAAAAAACAATGTTGTTTTTGTCGAATGTGGTATTGGTGATGTTGTCTATGTGAATCGTATCTGATGCACGAGTTAAGATATATAATAATCAGATATTTTTGTTTCTGCATTTAAAGGATTTTTTTTGTATTCAGGGTGTTTTGAATGAATGAGTTTTAAAAATCTTTGTATTACTTGTAAAATGTGAAGATGAGTTTTTGGAGCTGCGCCCCAGATTAGTATTCCATACCGGAGGTGGTTTTCTACTGGAGAAAAATAAAGTTTAGTAAGATATTTTTCAGGTATGATGCTTTTTAGTTTTCTGAACTTGTACAGTATTAATCTTAACTTATTCGAGATATGTGCTATATTCATATGTTGATGTATAATTATGCATCAGTTTTTATTTTCTGGGAGGATTACGAAAGTATCCAGAATAGATCGGATGGGTAATTTTTTGTAGGATGGATAAAAAAACTTATGGAAGTTATTGAAAGATATGGGTCTTTGTTTTCAACTAAGCTTTTGAGAATGAGATATATGTAATTTGTATTGATATTGGGTACTGTTGGCATTGAAAGGTAGGGGAGGGGGGCGAAGTGGACAAATGGAAAACTCGAGAAACGTATTAAATCATTTTGTCTACATAAAACAATCGTAATCCTCTAATAACTAGCATCATCTGAATATAATAAAAAGGCGAAAGGAGCTTCATTATCTTCAGAAACATAACATAACTAGATGTTATACACAACTCATTAATATATATTATGCTTGAAACAACAACAGTTGTAGATGTTCTAGTGATTGTAAAATAATTTCCTTTTACAAAAAATTATCAGATTTATCTTCAATCTTAGGGATTGGAGATTCATGCATGTATATATTCAAATGTATCATGTTATGTATATGTTCTCAAACATATTAATCTATATGACAGTTTTGTCTAACTATAAATATCCTACAAAAAGAGGCGACTTTCTGAATTTTTGAACACGAAATGATGAATATTGTATATATCCCGAAAATTTTGTTATATTCATAAGCTATATACATTAATAATTGAATATGTACTGTTTATACATTTTATTTGTACAGAGTACAGATGTGATCTATACCATGTATGTGATCGAAGAAGACTTCCCAGGAGTACTCCTAGTGAAGATAATATGATACTTTTTTAACTGTTTTATTATTATTAAATTATGAGTTTTATTTCTAGACTTACTAGAAGGAAACCGGTTCATAAAAATGCCCTACTTGTCAAATTTTAACAATGTCCCATTCTTAAACATAGTATTGCAAAATTAATCGTTATAGATGCCCGATTTCATCAATAACTTCACTTCTCGCTTGTATGACATAACCCAATCAGTTGTTTTATTGCATAAATATAACGAATATGTAAATATTCGTTACAGGATTGAGTTATGCTAAATATAGGTACTATTTAATCATGTATGATCATTATCGAAAACCTCGTCGAAAACACATTAAAGGAAACGTTGATGAATGTCTATACCTCTTATATTTTGCAATTCTGTCAAATAATATGATAATTATTATCTAGTGAATGCCTTATTTTCTCGTTAACGCTAAAGACAATAAAAGCTAACTTAGTGATTCTTGAAACAAATATAAAACTACTAATTACTCGGGAACGGCTGAGCCCTCTTCCAAAAATAAAAGGATGTTGGATAGAAATTGAAATGCATATTAAACGAGGTCTCTCAACATCTATCTTTTCTATTTGAAAAAAAAGTTGGTAGCGCCCTTATGAGCGAGTTGTCTTTCTCATGAAAATATAATGAAAACCATAGATTTTCAAGTGCATTTTATCCGACCTTGATACTTTGTCCCGTTCGAAAATTAAGAGGCGCGAGGAATATCTTTGACGTGAGCACTTTATACTCTATGCACTTACGAGTAAATTCAACTTAGCCGAAGTATTATCTACAATACTCTTTACCAATTTCTAGTTTAATTTTCTGAAAGAAATGTACAAGATTGCCAAAAGAGTGTACAGTGTTGAACGAAAATTGAATAAGGCCGAATAAAAAACTAATTTTCTTCATAAAATACCAGTCAAACTTGATAATTCGATAAAAACTAGACAGCGACCCTGAGCCAAACGCCATAAACGATATATTTCTTTTTTATAGGTTTTCGACAAGCAGGTTTTTCTTTTTTCGCAATGCTTTATCAAATGGGGCGAGAAAGAGAAAGAATAATTCGAAGGTATTCACGAATACAAGATTCTTTTCCGCGTGGCCTTTAATCTTTCACTTTTGGCGAATACATTAACGTTGCATAAGATCATAGCACCCGCCTACCTCGATAAATCGTCAAGGTATAAATTAAATTTTGATTAATAGTCGGGCAATGTATGAGGTGTGCTGCACAGTATAAAACGGGAAAATAAAAAACATACGTGTTAGGAATCACACGTTAAAAGCTAAGACCTCGTTAGTCCTTAGCTCGCACAAGTTACGACGTTTGAAAGTTGCCGGTCATAGGGGGGTGACAACTGGTTAACGGAAAAACAAATTTTAAACAGATACACGAAATGAAAAATGCAGATTGATCAAGTATCTATTTTCATCACAATTTATTTAATTTCATTATAATATAGTAGTAAAGAATATTACTGGAGTTTTTTCTCAACACCAAATCGTTATTTTTAACACCTCGACACGTGTTTCGATCGCCAAGTGATCATCTTTAAAGAGGAAGATTAAAACTGATCACTTGGTGATCGAAACACGTGTCGAGGTGTTAAAAATAACGATTTGGTGTTGGGAAAAAACTCCAGTACTATTCATTACTATACCAAAGGTTCCAAACAGTGCATCATAAGTATAGAAGTAAACTTGCAAGATATGTAATTTTTAAATTTGCAAAAGCAGTACAATGTATGTGTGTTCTTATCATATTCGTTAGCAAATGGCGATAGCTCATTTTGATCAAGATATTCATTAAGATAAGGAATGGCAGAAAACAACTTCTGCAGTGAAATCTGATGAGGGTTAAAGTGGATGATCCCCAAGGCGATTATTCTACATAACCATGAAAGGTTAGAAAAAGGGCACAAATGATCTTAAAAAAAACAAATTGTCGTATTCAACTAGGATTTTAACAAAACTTCGATATCAATCTCGGATTTTAACAAAATTCAGCGTTGAAAGTCGGAATTCAAAGTCACAATCCACCAAAATTTCCGCGATTACAATCGTTTTTTTTTTCAAAACACCGAATTAAAAGGTACTTCATCATTCAACTGAATATATCTATCCCAACTCGTAACTTTCTTTAAACTATCCTAATTTTTTTGAGAATTTATGGAATCCATAAAAAAATTCACATCATCAGAAACCTCAACAGATCTGTGACTATAAAATTATAAATGTATGAAGATTAATATCAGCATTTTCTGGCTTCTGCATTTCTCAACCGATCTGCCATGAATATTTTCACTATTATAATGGGTTGGTTACACGAATTGTCCCGATTTGTTATGGGACAAAATGATATTGTGGTGTAGCATATGACAAAAATTGAATAAAATTTCTTTGAAAAAATCAACCTGATCTAGATCTGATACAAGATATAACATTTCTATTAATTCTAATATGTTGCGTAAGTCATACCGCACCTGCATCTATGAAAACACGTTTGAATAATTTTAACACGACCTGTCACGATTAGTCTTAAAAAAAACTATAAATGAAAACTAATAATCGTTGAACTCCGTTATATTATGCTAATGCAGCTGACCATAAGTGATAATGTCATTTGATAACATACTTTTCCAAATCGCACGCCCCAAAGTATAAGGCTAATTCATTTTCATATTCTATCCGCAGAGACGTCACGTCAAGTGAAAAAAAATCTAATGAAAATGTTTTCACATAGCATCATCAGGAGGTAGTTAAAAGTTGTCATGCGCATCAACAGACATTTCTAGTTCTGGTGCTCCAATTATATAAATGCATTTTACACTAGAAGTTCCGTTTCTATCGAACTGAATATATCTGTTGAAAAACACATAAATATAGTTTTAACAACATTACAAAATTAATTATAAAAACATCTTACTTCATTTCTGTCGATTTCAGTTTTTGGAGATTGAAA